ATATATATATATTCATTTTGAATAGTCATTTTATTCATTGAGTTTAAATTTTCATCATTATGTGTGGCTGACCTAATTAAATTAATTATTGCATAAATAAGATGTTGCTATTATATGTAAACAAGAATTTATTTTTTACACCAATCGATTTTTTTTAATTAAAATTTGTTTAAACTGGCAGATGCATACACACACTCTCTCTCTCTCTCACACACACACACACACAACAAACAAACACAAATAAATATATATATATAAATTTGATTCAAGTTTCTAGAAACAATCTTATTTATCCAATTTTATGCAATGCCGCATGGGGTACATTCATTTCTAAAGCGCAGAAATAAATGTAAGAAATAATTTTGTTAATTATGTGATCCACAGAATGATGTATGATTAAAATTTATATTAAATGCATCATAAATAAATAATTTCTATTTTCTTGGAATATATTAAGTAAAGGCGTATAATTTAAAATAAGAAATATTTTCACCTATCACATCAATCGTATAATTCTAATAATGTGTGATGGGATAGCACTGAAGAGTACAACATCAATAATTTTCAGATTTTATGGAATGTTTTCCGATCGAAACTTTTTTTTTTTTTTTTAAATATAATCATATTGATAATTATAATTTTACAATTAAATACGAAATATAAAAATGAAATAACCAAAATTGCATGAAGTGAAATAAAATGAAAATAAAGTTAACGTTTAATATACTATTTTATATTGTACTCGAAATTCATTATTTAAATATCAATATATAGCATGATTTTTAATTGTAATTATAATGTTATTATTATTATTATTAGGAAGTATAATAACATAATCATAATAAAAGTATACCTTCCTTGTAAACAAAAAGTGTAATAAATATAAATGTTAAAAAAGACGCTAGACTTACCAATGTTGCAGATAAATCTGTTCTGAAATACAAGTACAGATAATAAATAAGAATATTTTTGAGAAAGGCCAATAACAGCATTTGTCAGCAGCTATAATAAATTATTCCACATAGCCAATGTAGTTCAAGTACAGTGAGCAGTAAACTGAGAATAAAAATTTAGAATTGAATTAATATACCTTAATTTAATTTTGATCATTTTAGAAATATAAAATTATAATATAATATATACATATATATATATATATATATATATATTTAGAAATTCAATTATTGTACCAGCATATTAGCATTTTAGTAGACTTTCATCATTAGTGTAACATTTTACTAATTGAAATATGTAATCACATTTTCAATGCATATTTCAATGGACATTATTCATATGTACAATTTCAAATGTTACATTGTTTTCAAAAAGAATAGATTATTTTCAGAAAATTTAATCTACTATAAAAAAAAAGAAAAACTTGTATTTGTAACAGAGATAACTTACCTAACCATTTTACATAACTATTTAGTAATGATACAACTCCTCTCATGTCCCACATATATGAATATAAATCATATAATAGTTCGCGATTATTACAGTAGGTAAGTCGTTGAAATAATCTGTTTACTGCGTTACACATATCATTCATTTTAGCTGCACGAGCATGCCACTCTTCAATCTGAAATATTTTTATTGAAATAATGAAGTGAAATTTACACGTTACAAAATAAATTATTAATTAATTATGTTTACTAACATCAGATTGCGAAGCAACATCTTCTTCCTTTGATTTTTTCATAACAACGTGAGCATTGCTCTTTAGCCAGTTGAATTCTTGTAACAATTGAATACCTTGACCACCATGTTCAAATGGTAAATAGAATAAATCGCACAACAAACATAGATCCTCTTGAGTTAATTGTTTGTCTGCATCTTTCATTGACAAACTATCTTGATCTATATTATCATTATTCTCATGAGTTTCACTATCATTTTCGATAATCATTTGTGTACCATTAACCGTTGGTGAAGTAGCATCTACATCTACTTGCATACCTGCAGAAGCTTCGCTACATGTCTATGAACATTTGATTGAAAAAATTAATACAAATTTACATTGATGTAAAAATTCTATAAATAAAATTTATAAATGACTCACAGAAGTATTTTCTACCATGATGTCATCTTCTACATGTATTTTTATTCCATGAGCAGGAGAATCACTAGGAGTTGTGTTACAATCCATTGGCTCAACCGAAGACATGATCGATGGAATTGCTTCATTTCCTATACTGGGAGATATTGTTGAAACTATAGGTTCACTGATTACTTTGGTATCAGATACTAAAGAATTCATAATAGGTCCAGTAGAAGGTTGGGCAAAACTATCGCTACTTGTGACAGTAGAACATACTTCAGCCAATGCTTGTAAGTGATTAGAATTAGTTACTGGTGTAGGAGTTGCTGGAACCGTTGTCGTTGTAGTGGATGTCAAACTCATACATGTATTAACAGAAGGAATAATTGGAATTGGTATTGTTGGGGCAACGCATGGTTGTGGTTTTGCTATAACACCCCATGCTGCTTTTTTCTTATTAAACTCTGATAACCATTCATTTATTGCATTTTTCAATGCATGACGCGGATGATACATGTTTGGAGATAAAGTTGAAGGTACGTCTTCTCCAATAACTCCATCTTCCGTTTCTGTTTCTAATTTAATATCAGCAGATACAGTGTCGTCTATGAAACAATACAGAACTTATTATAATATACTGTTTAAAATATGTAAATGAAGAAAAATATAAAACATACTCAGACTTAAATCTCTCTTTCCATCAATATTGCATCTGCTCCATTGTGCCAATGTGTGAATAGCAACAAAATTGGCACCATATTCACAATTAGGATTGGTCAAAACACCTCTTAATTTAGGAATAAGATCTGGTGATCTACCGGAATAAGGTCCGAGAAAAACTCTTTTTTGATCATAATCATTAGCATGTAAGTTATCCCAAATGACAGGTGGTCTTCTAAGAACTTCTGTAATTTCTTCAATAGATTCAATGGTTAAAAGTCTGGATATTACTTTAGGACCTGTCCACATTATATCAATTTCTTGAGCTAATTTCATTCCAAGAGTATTCAGGTACTCAGAAGAAGATACATTAGGTATTGCTCGAGTAGCGCAATATTGTGTTGGACATAGAAGAAAACGAGGTTGTCCAAGGTGTTGAAAAATATCATTAGTTACAGAAACCTGCACGGTACAACAACAAAATAATATAATGAAATATGTTAAGGATGTAGGAAAAATGATCAAGAATAAATGTTAATACTTGTGCATGTGCAAATGATTGAAACATTTCTTTGTCTGCTTCGCTCATTTCTGGTTCTATATCATCGAACAATAAGGCAAACGCGGTGCAACCAAATTGGCTAACTTGTTCCAATTTTCTTTTTAACGCTGCCACTTCCTTGGCATTGGAATACGTGATATCTAATCCTGGAGATAGAGCATAATAAAATGTAATACCGCATTCTCTAGCAGCTGTGATCAAACCCGTCAGATGTTCAGCTTCTTCCACCGTATACAAATCTCTCCAATAAGCACGATGTTTATAATCATCCTTGGGAGCGTACAAATATGAATCCATTCCCCATTTTTTGAGTCTACAAATATAACAAAAATTCTTGTATTCCTTGACACATATATTCTATATATTTTAAGAAACATACTTTTGAAACAAGTCTTTTCGTTGTTCCGTTGTCCATGGTCTTCCATAAAATCCTATTCAAAATAAATTTTAATGTAATATTATTATTATTAATGAGACAAGAGAAATAATGAAATAAAAAAAATAAAAAAGAAACAAAATACATAAATAATAAGACATCTGTATCCACAATAAAGTAAAATATGGTTTTCATTATAAAGTCACAAATAAATATATTATAATGATAAAATCAGAAGAATAATTTAATATTGTTTATATACCTTCTACAACACCGCAAATAAAATTTCCATTTTTTGTGTTTAAATTTGCGGCCCCGTTTGTCTCCGCCATTGCGGATCCGTTGAGGCACGTTTGTTTAGAATCGAGTTGATAAGATGGCCGAAGGATCTGTTAGCGAGAATAACTCACTTTGTGCCAAGTTAAGCAAATAAAGAAACGATAAGCTATTAAAACGTAAGGCACGTCTTAGCTGCTTGTTATTTCAACATTACTTTTTAAAGAAAAAATATAGGCAAAATCAGTATGTCACATAATACACAAGAAAGATCATCGAAATTTCGTATTCCTATAAGCTGCGCCCTCACCGTTCCGATCGATAACGAACGATTTTTCGATAAATCGACTCGGTAAATAATAATATGTTTATTGATACGTGGCGCCCTCGCAAATTTAAATAAAGAATCATTATTTATAAACAACAATGTTCTTTCTATAAGGAAAATTTAAAAAAACGATATATTTTGTTAGACAGAAAAAGTCGATATGTATGATTCGATTAATATCGTTTCTCGAGAGAAGATATAAATAGAAGTTGTTTTTTTTTTATTATTTTCAGCCGAATTTGCGAATAATTGTGAATTTGAAACTTTTATCTATTCATTTTTCTTTTTCCTTTTGGATTATTATAAATATTATATTAATTAAATTAATTGAATATAAATAGGGAAATATTTGCATGTAAATAATAAATCAAATGAAAATAGAAAAATGAGAATATCATTTGTGCGCATGCGCATGATCATCTTTGGATCTTCGCGCCAAGTGCCATTATTGAGGAACGACAATTATTCGTTACTCTCCTTGCTGTTATATTACAATACTTATTTCATTTAAAAATAATTACAAAGTAAAATGTTTATTATTACAGTTATCAGTATGTGTAGTTGAAGTTATACATTAATATTAAAGCTGTACTGCATTATCATAATCTTTAAATATATAATCTTGTCCATTGATTTTGAAACTGTGATGTTTATTGCGTTGAAGTTACCTTCGTATGGAAAATGTTTGCATATCACGTGAAACATAAATGAAATATTTCTGTTAAACATAATCAATTCGAATATATTTCTTTTTTAATTACATCTAATGGTCTCAGTTTTTATGGATTTATAAATAAGTATTCATCTACTAATTATTTAAGTTTTATACCAAAGTTCGTTTTTTCGCAATTACTTGCACCGATCTTTAATAGATGTCGTTAGAAGCACGGCACGCGCCTCTTATGCTATTGTATTTGTACCTTTTTAAAGTATGAATAATAATTAGAATAGACAAAAACGAACAATTAATTTTTTCTTCTTTTGCAGATTCACTTGTTAATTACTTCAATGGATATGAAGACGTTATTGTTCCAATTATTAATTTAAACATCAAAGTAATTGATAGAAAGGGTTAAACGTTGAATTTGTGCAGCTATCATCTAATAAGGAGCGTAGAACATACAAATTAATGGAATAATAATATAACTTTGCTTAGATTATAAGATTAGTTTTTGGTAAAACAAATTTTATGATATCATTATTAATTCATATCAATAAAGTAGTCACGTAATAATTTTGATATGTTCTACTTGAATCAATGTTAGGAAATTGTTGACCGATACAAGTATTTGATGAAATCTTTCTAAGAAAATAATTGAAAACATCAAAAGTAATACAATTGTAAAGATTAGATAATCTTTAGGATAAGATAATGATAGAATTTTGTAAATTATTGCATATATATGTAGGTACAAATGATTAGATTAATACGTTGCTTATAATTGACAGATCAAGAAGAAAATTGTCGAGGGTAGAAAAGAATAGAAAAGAAGAGAATAGAAGAGAAGAGAAGAGAAGAGGATAGAAGAGAAGCGAAGGAAAGAGGAATCTCGTATAAAAAGGCAATCGAAGAAAGGAAGTGTCATCTAGGAGGAGAATCGTTTTCGAGAAAAGTCGTAACGCGGCGCCCAAATCGTTTGCAAAAGAGGGTTGTGTTTTTTGGCTGGTCGGTACGTCGTTGGCGTAGCGGTGGTTGTAGAAGAGTTAAGAAGGGAATCAGGATGAGGAGGAGTAGGTGATGCGGGAGGGGGCGGATGTAGTCAGGTCGTGGTTGTTACGGCGCGGGCGGTACGGTATCAGTGCGAGGCCGGCTATCAGCCGCCTAACGTCAAAGTCAATGGTACGTTTGATCGCGTATAACAGTAGCCACTGTTGCAGAGTGAGTAATCGCTCAGTGGCTTGCACCTATCGCGGGCTTACACAGTAGTATATACCTTTCGCGTTTACTAGCTTTATCGTTCAAAGGAAACGTTTTTCATTGTTCTCATCTAACGACGTTGGAAACGAACGTCCCTTTTCAGGGAGAAAAGCGAAGCGATCGGCTTTCTACACGCAGCAATGCGTCGTAATCAATAAGGACGATCGGCGCGCATGCATGGCATCGTCTTAAACCGAAGGAACATATCACGCTCTCTTACATTCGTTTTACGATCGGAGCATATAAACGAGCTTTGACGGGGGGTAGGAAGGGAACGGTGGATATGTAGAGAAGTAGATGAATGAATAAGCGGTCGAATTAAAGAACGGAAACAGGTAGATGGATGGATAGATAGATGGATAGATGGATGGATGGATGGATGGATGGATGGATGGATGAGAGGGTGCGAAAGTAGATTCTTTGGCAAAACAAGTACGAGTGAGTGGGCCAATTGAGTGGAATGCGCAAAGCGAGGTGGAATAGGAGAGGGGGAGGGAGAGGGAATAGCAAGAGATAGGATAAGAGGATAGATAAATAAGCGTAAAAAAAAGCGCAAAGTTAAGAGTAACGAATAATATGATCGCGACTGGAACGTGTATCGAAGCACACCGTAACATACACCCGAAAACATTGACGATCGGTAAAGTGTTGCCTACCGTTTGATTCGATTTTCATTATACCGAATTCTCTTTCTCTATCGCAGTGTCATTTGATGATACCTAAGCGAATGTTTCTGTTACGTTCGACACTGTTACCTTTACAAGAGCACAACGTTACGTCGTTTTACTCGATAAGGTAAGAGTGCTGTATCAAGATTTAGGGTGTGCTCGATAACAAGAACCGAATTGTCATCTTGTAACTTGGATAGGGTGGAAATTTGAGGGTAAGAGAGAAATAAGGAAAGAAAGGGAGCGCGAAAAGTATTAACTTTATTTATTATAAGTCATTTTGTGTGATAGAGTTTGTATTTATGTAATAAAATTTGGATATGTGTTATTGCAGCTAAAGAAGAACGATGCAATACATGAAAATCAGACTTGACTGATACATCTAAGGAGGAATACGTCGTCGAAGTTGCAAGTGGATTGAGGAAGTTAAAAGGAATGGGGGATGAAAGTTCAAAGAAAAGAAACCGAAGAGGATTCGTACAAAATAATTGAAAGGAGAGAAAGGGATAGAAAAAAAGTAGAGGTGTAATTTTGAGTTCCGGTTGGCGCTCGAGCGACCTCTTCTCTTATCTTGTGGAGTTTTCTAAAGAGAAAGAGCGAGTGGGAGATATAGAGAAACGAGTGAGAGAGAGAGAGAGAGAGAGAAAGAGAAAAAAGAGTGAAAGAGAGAGAGAGAGAGAGAGTATGAGGGTGAGAGAAGGGGTATGGAGGGATATGTCAGTTGATGATTTTCGATCGATACGCGCCACCCAACATCTCAAAGATCTGTATCATTCTTTCCTCGAAGGAATAGTGCACCGAAAATGAAGTTAGACGAGGGTACAATCGTGGAACGAAGGAACGGGTTTCAAACGGAGGAATGAAATTGATCGATAGAACTTAGATACTATTGTTGTATAACAGTGCAAATTAGTATTAGAGGAAGCACAAGAAGAAGGGAAAGAAGATAAATAATAAGGATCAAAGATAAGAGGACAAAAGTAAAAAATGGCATTGCTCGTCTCTCGTTTCTTTCATACAAGATATAGTCGTACGATTACGCAGGATTCAAAGATATCGGCGAATGCGATAAAGCGCGGGAAGAATCGGGAGGATTCAAATAGATCGAGAGTTCTTTGATTTTCGCAAGATATCGCGTGCTGATTCGCCGAGTCGAGGAAGGGTTGTGCTGCGGGTGGTGGTGGTGGTGGAGGTGGCGGCGTGGGCGAGGGTGAGGGCGAGAGAGGGGGTGAGGGCGGGAGCGAGGGTGGTGGCGACGGTGGTGGCGGTGCTGGTAGTGGTGGTGGTGGTGGTAGTGGTGGTAGTAGTGGTGGTGGAGAAGGTGGTGGTAGTGGTAGTAGAGAAGGTGGTGGTAGTAGTGGTTGTGCCGGTGATGGTAGCAGTCATTCGTTCGAACAAAGAGCACGAGAGCCTCGTGGCGCGAGCCGAGCCGAGCTGAGCCGAGTGAAGCCGGTGAAAGATCAGAAAGGCTTTTCCTAAAGGCGGCTAGTATCGATATCGATGAGCAGACGCAATCCGTCCCGTAGGGAGCAACGGTGTGCGAACGACGATCACGGTTTCTCTCAATCATCCGGATTTCATTACATGGATAAAGCCTGAAGAAATTCATGCGCGTCGACATAGACCCGAGCAAGTGGTCCGAGAGAACGATCGTCGTTCTCGCGACGACGCCTAAAGAAAAAAAACTCGCGCGAAAGGGAGGAAAGGGCTCGCACGACAGGATCCGTATCAATTTGCGACTGTGATTTTATAATCTTAAGGTTAAGCGTAGGAAAATTGTTCATTGTGATACTAAGCTATATTAGAGGGTGGAGATAAGGTGAATTAAGGAAGAGGAGGAGAAGAAGGAGAAGGGGAAGGAAGACACGTGGATTCGAAGAGAAATGGAGCGAGGTGGCGCGATGCTTTTTGCGAAAGAAGAATCACGCAAATTCTCGCAGAGACTCGTGAAAGCTAATTTGACGCGAGGCGCAAACAAAATTTTTACTGTTCGTGATACGATCAAGGACGAAAATATGGAAATAGCGTTCCCTTGAACGATTCGATAGCACGAGGCTGATCGTACCTCTTGGGCTAATCGGTTTTTTTTTTTATTTAAATCCATCGATGATCCCAACTTACACATTTTAGGTACATTTGCAAGCCGTTTACATTGAATATTGGATAATCTTTTGGTTAATTTGATTTTTCGTGGCAATCGTTAGACCTCGCAGGCAACTAGGGGATCGTTGTCGTTGAGCCAAAGAGACACGGAATTTTTAACGTTGTGTTTATTGCGTAAGGAAATGCGATAAAGGAGACAAAAAGTTAGCCAAAGAGGCTGGATAATTCGTTGCGTAGGACGGAAGAAAAGCGAGTCTCGGAGCGCTCAAGAGGTCCTGGAGGGAAAGTAGAGACGAAA